GGAAGCCTTAGGAGGGTTATGTTATATAGAAGTTCTCTATTTCTAAGATGTATGATTTTTTATTTTCTATTTCAGTTTTCCTGAAATCAGAGTGCAAACAAGTATTGCTGGGAGAGTATTGCTTGCCAGCCGCCAGGCAAAGGAGCAAATTGTGATGAAGCTGATACTGCCTATTGATGGGAGAACTCAACCATGCTGATGATTTCAGCAAGTTGGATCATTCCCCCCCACCCCCGCCCAAATATTCCATTAGTATGGTAGCAATGAAATTAAGTTACTGTACGTACAAAAGTTTTCCACTGACCCTTAGCAATGCAATTAAAGGCAGAAAAAATTACTGGCTCTCCTGGAGGAGAAAGCCAAAGTTCAAGGCTGGTTAGAGGAACATATAGGGTTGAACTAAGAAAAAGGGATGCACAGAGATGCTCTAGGTAAGGAGTCCTGAGAGTTAGCAAAAGATCCAGCAGGGGCAATGTCAGGAAAGGGAAGGAGGAACAGAATGTTTTAGGAAGGGATAAGAAGTCTGAGTGTCAAATGGTGAGTCAGGTGGACCTGAGAATGACTTCAGAAAGGCAGAAGGCTGGTTGTGGTTAGGAAGGCTCTAGGAGTTAATTAACCAGAGAAAGCAAATGTTAGCAGCTCTCTGGGTGCAAAAGAGAGGGGAAAAATACTGGAAAGTAATTAGAAGAGAACATAGAAGAAGCTCGAGCATGGTTATAAGCAAAGATAAGGACCTAAGAAAGAAAAATATGAAGTTGCATGTGTTAAAGGAATAAGGCACAAGGTACCAACCCACAGAAGGCAGGAAGAAAGGGCCATGGGAACAGGTAAGTGAATAAATGAGTCATCTTGAACATTGTTTGAAATTGGAGAAAATGTGGAAATGTAGGTACATTTGGTAGATAAGTGGGGACTTAAGGAAGACTATTCTTGATATCATCAATTATCTCATGAAGGAAGGATGGAGAATGAAATGTTTGATGAGAGCCTGGTGAGAGCTGGGGAGCTGGAGGCAGCCTCTTCCTTCCCTCCCACTGCAATCCCACTGCAGTCAGAGAGCAAAGAGACGTGGGTGATCTCATCTGCAGAGGTCAGCCTTTCCAACATAGCCAGGTCACAGGTCGGCCTTCAGGACACAAACAGGACCCAGGTCAGCCTTCCTGACATAGACAAGACACAGGTCAGCCTTCAGGACACAGACAGGACACAGGTCAGCTTTCCCGACATAGACAAGACACAGGTCAGCCTTCAGGACACAGACAGGACACACAAGAGCAGAGGAAGGGAAGAGTTAGCTCAGAGGACATGCTCCTGTGGGAGACTTTGTGAAAGATGCCTAATAAATTCCTTCTATCTCTTCTACCTGTGCTCCTGTGCAATGTGGCTCTGCCACCCTGTCTCCCCTGACAAAGAGGCAGAGGTACGTTTACTCTTTCCCCAGAGTAAAAGTGAAGTTTTGCAATACCTGAGTCTGGATCTCAAGAAAGCTTGCAGCTTTTCTTTTACTCTCTTAAAATACCCTTTTAAATGCCATGTCGGGAAGTTTTCTTATAGAAGAAAGGCCATGTGGGTGAGGAGACCCAACCGGCATGTGAGGAGGACTTCTTAGACCATCTTGGACCATCTCGCCCCAGTCCAGCAGCCAGATGACTCAAGTCACATAACTGACTCAGGCAAGACCAATTGCTTTAGGCCATTACATGTTGATGGACTTTGTTACTCAGCAATAGATAACCAACATAGTTCTATATGTTGACCCTCAAAAAAGGATGCACTCAGAACATTCCAGCTTCTTTTCCCAGCCTTAGGATATCGAGGTATGTCGTAATCTTGCTGAGTTTTTGTTTGTTTGCTAGTTTTTGCAAATATTTTATTAAAATCTGAAGCACAATGAAAATCTTAAAATTAAAAAAAATGCATTCTAGGCCATTGGTTGCTAGGGACTTGGGCAGGAGAACAAGAAGGAATAGGTGGATATTTAGGGCTGTGAAAATATTCTATATGAGGCTGTAGTGATGGATACATGTCATCATATATTTGTCAAGAATCCATGGAATGTCCAACACAAAGTGTAGCCTCTGTTGCAAACCAAGGACTTCTAATAATGGATCAATCCTGGGACACTAGTTGTTAACAAAGGTACTGCAATGATAGAAGATGTTAACAGTGGGGAAATTGTGATTGGGGGAAAAAGGCATATATGGGAACTCTCTGAACTATCTGCTTAGTTTTCTGTAAATCTAAAACTTCCCTATGAAATATTTAAAAAAATACATACTAGCTTTTTAATATACATTTTACTATTCTTAAAATCAAGACAAACAAAACAGAAACGCCAAGAGGTGGCAGGAAAGTGAAGTTCCCGAAGGGCCTTGAAGAGAGTCCTGTAACTTGTTGTTTAATCTGAGGATTACTGTACTCAACAACATGCTTCCCTTTTACATTAGCTCTACAAATAAAACAAAATATGCAAGTATTTCCACATTTTGCCTACAGAGAAATACATACAAAGGCATTTAAAAAGTGAGAAACTATCATATATGTAAGGTACTTAGAAAACTGCTTCTTACCCCCAAGGAAAACAGTGAAAATATCACCATGTTGCTTTTGAAGGGCTTTTAAGTAATTTAAGGGGTTTTTCTGGAATTGTAGGGCCACTCCAAGGTAAGGAAGCCAACCTTTTATCAATGGAGGCTCACCAGGTCTCCTATAAGAAAAAAAAAAAAGATAAAGAAAAAGAAAAGTCAAATTATTGTTGTTTTAACACATATGGGATATTTATCCAGTCTAGAGGTGGATTGTGGGAATTATACAGCTTCTTTCAATTCTCTTATTTAATGATTCTCATATAGTCATAGATGTGATGTGTATTTACTGAGCTTCCCCAGTAGGTATGGTTTTGCGGTCAACAGTCCAATTCACAACTTTTAGTGAGCAACTTTTTGAAGAAGTTGTGTCTTGCAAGGTCTGAATGGCTGCTTGAAAGTTAAGTCACAATCTGTTTTATTTCATGTTCAAATTCCCATGTTCATAAGTAGACCTGAAGAGTCTGTGACTGAGGGGCTCTCCAGGAAACTAAATCAACTGCTTGATATACTTCATTCCTTGACATTGTCAGTTTGGTAAAATGCTGATTAGAAAAAAAAAAAAAAGGATCAGCTGCTTAAATCTTTTGGCCTTTCACAAGTCTTTTATAAATTTAGTCAATAAGAGCTAAACTTAATTTCCAATTATTGTGATCTACTATGTGCTTGGTGATATGCAATGGGATAGGCCAAATCTAAATCCTAGTCAAGCTTCTTGGTGCAGATTCTGTAAACAATCAATTTCAGTTACTGATTTTTATATTAAAATTTATTTTTAGAGTCATGGTCTTGCTCTGTCACCCAGGCTGGAGTGCAGTGGCATGATCACAACTCACTCCAGCCTTAAACCCCTGGGAGCAAGTGATCCTCCTGCCTCAGCTCTCTGAGCGTGAGGACTTTTGGCGCCCACCATCATTCCTGGCTTACCGATTATTTTGTTTGATATTTACAATGTTTTTATATGTACAGATGCACTCAGACTAAACCCCTCTCATTTTAAATCCCAACTCATGTGTAGTCATTTAGGTCTTTCTATAAATAAAGAGTATGAGTTTTTTGTTTTTATTTAATGTTAAGAAATTTTCTATTCTATTATTCTACGTTACAGGTTTCAGGGATGATGCTTTATGGGATTTCAAGTTTTTTAAAGCACTTAAGTGTACTTCACAGCATAGATGAAGGTGTGTTCTGTACAATGTGCAAGTTCTAGTAGAGTGTTTATTGAGCAATTTTTCACTGAGTTGATTGATTGATTCCAAATTTAGAACTAGATGGCACCTTGGGGGCTTTAGTATAATCCCTCATTTTTACAGATAAGGGAATCTCAATACCTGAGGGGTTAAAAAATTTACCTAAAGGTCGTGAAACTACTTAAGGGCAAGCTGAGCACTTGGGTGCAAACCTTGGAGCCTCAGAGCTGCCCTCTGACCCCTCTAGGAGTATTAGACAGTTAACCTGTGAACCTCCCAGGGAAAAAAATATCAAAGCAGCTCACTGCTTGAGCTGACAGACAAATCTGGTAAACATCGCCTGTGTGAATCTGAGAGCTCTTGCTGTGCCCTGGGTGTTAGATGTCAGATAGTTAGTTTAGTTGCCAAAGTAAAGCTCTTTGTTATCAGATGTCAATTAGACTGGAATTGCATAATCAGAAGAGAGACAGTTAATAATCTTGAAAAATCTTTCATGCTGTAGAGAATAATAAAATCCTCAACATTATTTCCATGAGATGTATTTAAATATATTCTTTTACTGTTTTTTATTCAAATTACAAATGAATAGAATTAGTTGTTAAATTTTAAAGAATAATTTGACATGTTTTTAGAATGTGAAGCATCCTTTAAAATAGTATCAATTAAAGAAGCAGTTTCTTCTTTCTTGATCTGTAATCCCAACAAATACACACTTCAAAATTTCTTTCCAGTCATTATTTTGGTGAGGTCAATCTGATTTAAAGTTAAGAAAAAGAAGAAATAAAAAATAAAAAAACAACAAAAAAAGCCATTTTATCCTAGAAAAGATTAAAACAAATATTCAAAAGAAGTCTGATTCTCTAGCCCATCTGTGAAGATGACTGATACTAAACGCACCGCAAGCCATTCTGATTAATCACAAGATATTACTAGCTAAGATCTAATAAAAAATCAAGATTATGATCATATCCAGCATGGACTTCTATGCAGCTAGATTAACTCTATTAGAAGCTTTTATTTTCCCACAATCAACATGGTAGAATTAAACTTCAAAAATAAACAACAGATCTTTATGGGGGAAGGGGGGAAGATTAAAACAAAATAAATCAGAGTTGGGATAGAAATCAAGGAAAGATTTTGCCTTCTGTTTTTAGAAGACAACTTATACTAATACTAATTTTTAAAATGCATGCCGTTGTTTAAATACTTAGGAATAAGAAAACAGGAAACACTGAACAAAAATGGGAAGCTTATTCTTCATGCTTTCTCTCTCTCTCTTTTTTTTTTTTTTGAATGCAGCCTTTAGCAACGGAGACTTGCACTTCTGTGAAATATAAGAAAATGAAGAAAACATTGCACGTGGAATAGTTAATTTTATATTCAAAGATTAAATAAAGAGATTGTACATAACAATTGTAGAGTAAGATCTCCAAGTTAGAAACTACCATAGCTCAAATGCTTTCTATCAATGACCTTTTCAAATTTTGAAGTTATCTAGTTCGCAAAATTTCATCTCAGACTTTTAACCCTCTTCCTTTGTCTACTTGTTGTCTGTTTGGTTTAATGTTGCTTGAATGTTACATTATGACAAAGATTTAGAAAGGCTTGTTGTCATATTCTAATTTAATGCAACTAATTTCATCTTCTATGCTCTGTCATTCGGTCAGAAGCTGTATTCTTCATAGGATTTTTGCAGAGGGAAAGGATAGACAGGGGACTCAGAGATCCAGAGGAATATTATCCTTCAAACTTAGGCAAGTCCATTAGGAAGCCATTTCATTGTTACAAAGAAGAGAGGGTCATCATTTCTTACAGCTGTGTTTATTTTGGCAGCAGTAAGCTTAAGACTATTAAACACCATGTCACAACTGTGCATATTTTCAGGAAAAAATATAGTGCTAGTTCAACTTATGACCCATGGAAGACAGATAACAGAAATCTGTCTTCATCCGTATATTTGTAAACATTATTTAGGGAGGAAAGACATCACCACGATGATCCAGAAAGGCCTGCTGGCACCTGGTACAGGCAAATACTGCTGTTGCTCCCTCTTACACT